GCCCTCTGGGCCCCATGGGGCCAGTTGGGGCTCCTGCAGGTGGCCGGAGACGGAGACGGCTGGCTCCTTCCCCCAGCGGCTCAGCCACAGCTGAGCTCGGGCTCCTGTTGATGTTTTCCCATCCTGGAAGCTGGGAGGATGGGACGAGGCCCCGGTGTCCAGGGGGTGGGGCCTCGGCTGTGGCTGTGGCTGCGGGGTGGGTGGTGGTGGTGAGGGGGAGACAGGAAACCGGGGCTTTTCCGCCCAGCATCGGGGCAGGAGCGTCCCGCCTACCGCAGGCCAGGCTGAGACAGAGAACCAGGGCCTGTGACTCATCTCTCCCTGAGAGGAGCCGGGCACACTGGGGCCTTGTGCGGGGGCCAGCAGGTCAGACACTCGCCCCCGCGTCGGGGGCGGGGCAGGTGGGGGGGCAGGACGGGGAGGGTCTCCAGCACACAGCAGGGAGTGGCCCCAGTGGAGGAGCCTGTGGCATGGGTTTCAGCCTCTCCAAACACTGCCAGGGCTGGTATGGCCTGTTGGGGGCCTCCAGCAGCCTCTGCACTCCCCCCCCAGGGACACTTGAACCCAGTGCCTGTGGGTAATGTCCCAGGGATGCTTGAGAGACCCAGGGGTGTCCCTGGGGCCATCGCGTGTGGACACTGGAGACAGCAGAGCTTGGAGAGGCGGCTGGCAGCTGTGCTGATGGCCAAGCCACTGAAAGGGTCACTGGGTGCTGGTCTTGGAAATCTTGCCTGGGAGAAGTCGGCGCCCCCTGCAGGTGCCCGAGGGAGGCCCCGGTCCTGCCCCTGGGGTCTGGGGCTGGGCTCTGAGGTTCCGCAAATGCGGGGTTGGGTGTCAGGCAGGTTCTGCGGGGGGATGGGCCAGCCACCTCCCAGTGCTTCAGGGTGAGGGGGGCGTGACCCGGAGAGAAGTTCCAGGCTCCCCTGGGGGCCGACCACATCACATCATCCCTCCCCCGCCCCTCCGAGAAGGATGCTTTGGGGTACAGCCCCATGAAGTCTGTCCTGGGTTTTAGTGGGCGTGACCTCTTGGGGCCACAGCCCACAGTGGGATGCACACAGGGCTCTCCAAGAGACCCCTTGGAACTGCTGGGCTGGACGGAGTGTCTGGCACCGCCACGCCTCTCTGGAGCAGATGCTGCTTTCTCCCAGCACTGGTCCCACCTGCACCCTGTGGTGCACCTGCACAGGTGGCCCGGTTCAAGGGCAAAGGCAGGGACAGTGGCCTTTGGGGCTTTGGAAATGGGGGAGGGGATGGCTCACCGGCCGGGCCCTGGGGACAAGATGGGGGTGCAGTGAGGTGCCAGGGCCTCCTCCTGTGATCGGCCACCCCTCCAGCTCTCGAGTGGGGTGGCTTCTCGGTGTGCCCCAAGTTCATAAACTCCACTGACTCCAAAAGCCAGAATGAGCGGCCCCTCCCTCCTGGGCCTGGCCCCGAGATGGCTGACGCACAGGTGTATGTACGCATATAGGTTCACGCCCCCTCTGAGCTCAGAAGGGGTGCAGGCCGGCACCCGGTGCGTCTGGCCCTCTCTTTGTAAACATCAGTCATCCTGCATCTTGGCTGGTGGTTCCTGGCCTGACCCGCTCGGTTCCGCGATGTCCCCGGGCAGGCACGAGGCCCAGCACGACTCCGCGGCGAACCCTCTGGGACGGAAGGGACGCCCAAGCCTTGGCTTCAGAGCTCCAGGGAGCTTCTAGATCACGCGTGTAAAATCGTGGCCGCCGACAGCATCTTCTGGGAAGAGGGTTTGTGTTTCTAAGGAGACTGTGGTCTGGAAAACGAAAGGAGCCACAGCCCCGGGCCGCGTGGGATTTTTCAGGAGGCGAAGGGCGCCCCGGGCAGAAGGCAGAGTCCCTGGGTTCCTGAGCCCCGCGGGGAGGGCCGAGGGCAGCCGCAGACGGGGAAGGGGCGCATGCGCGGTGGGGGCAGAGATGCCCAGCTCTGATTTCTTCCCGATGACCGGGTTTCCTGTGCCCAGGAGGGTCCCCTGTGTGCCATGAGGGTGGCTCTGACCAACAGGAGGAGGGAGCATGGGGACTTCTGGGATTCAGGCATCTCTGTGCTCAGCTCTCAGGTCCCTGGACCTATGGAGAAACCCCAGAGGCCAGAGGCCGGGTCCGAGGTCGCCAGCCCCGGGAAAGGCAGAGGCCTTGGGCTGTTCTGCCGACGGGACCCTGGAGGCGGCGAGGCCTCCTGTTGCTGCTTGCTGCAGCTGAGCCGGGGTGGGGGGTGGGGGTGGCGCACGGTGGCGCCGAGGGCCTCACACCTCACTGCATCTGGCAACCTCACCTCCCGCGGGCCGGGTCCGCGCTGCAGCGAAGCGAGGCGAGGAGGCTGCGCTGCCGGAGACGGCCACTGGAGGGCAGCAGGAAGGCCACTGCAGTGGCTCAGCCGAGGACGCTGTCCCTGGGGACAGAGGGCGGGGAGGGGGCGGGAGGAAGGGGGTGGGGCAGATTTCACTGTTAGATTCAGACCCGTGGGTTGCGGGATGGCTTGGCGCACCAGCGCTTCCCCCAGGCAAGATGCAAGGCGAAGCTATGAATTGGCTGCTGAGTGGTAACAACTAATTAGTCCTCGCAGCGCCCTCGTTAAAATTCTCCCTCTTTTGCATGGAAGGCAGGAGCCCAGGTCCCACAGCCGGGAACTGCTTGGACTGGGATGCTCAGGGCTGGTCCCAGAGCCCAAGTGTCAACCACGAGCGCTCCACATCTGGAAGCTTATGGGAAATGGAATTGAAAGTTAAGTTTGTGTCTTTTCTGAAACCCACGCCCAGGAGAGAGCTTCAGACAGCGCATGGAGATTGCGTATGAGGAAAAAACCGTGCATGGACTTCAGAAAAACTTTGTGCACCAAAACGCACGGATCTTTTCATTCCATTTCCCCCCTGCAGAGTGTTTGAAGCCCCCTCCTAGCTGGGGAATCACCCAGGGGCGCTCGCCTGCTGAGTGCCACAGCCAGGGGCCAGGGCTCCGGCCTGAGCTCCCAGCTCTGAATCACAGCTTCCGATGTGGGCGAGGCCCACCTTGGGCCCGGGCCTTGCACTTGGCCTCTGCTGCAGTTCGACCTTGCTCCGCGTTATCTCCCCTGTCTTCCAGCCGAAACGACAGAGTCTGGGCTCCTGCATCCAGGGCCTGAGGTGGAGGGAGGCCGTGCCAGGGGCTTCTGGATGTCCCGGGAGGGACTCTGGGGGGCCTCCCAGGCCATTGAGGACATCTGTGGCCAAGGGTCCCTAGGGAACAAGAGGACCTGGCCTGGGCGCCTTTGGTTTCCAGGACAGACGCCGGCCGCATACCAAGGACGCTTGGCCAGCCCTGGGCCCGGCTCTGCCAGGCTGGCAGGAGAGCAGGGCGATTTCCGGGGGAGCCTGCCTTCCCCCATCCTCCCATTCCCACGCCCTGGCCCTGCCCTCCCCTGGCCTTTGCCCAGCCCTGTCCTTGGTGCCCAGGCTGCGCCCGCTGAAGCCGAGTCTTGTGTCCGGGGGCTTCCACATTCAGTGACTCCTGACAGCCAAGCAACAGCCCCAGTCCGGCCTTCACTTTGGGTGGAGGTGGAGCGGGCCAGGCAGCGAGATGCCGCTTTGCAAAGAAAGTCCTGCGTGCATTCTGCTTTGGGAACTGGAATCCTCGCGTCGCAGCGAAGACTCCTTAGGGGTCCTGTTTCCTGCTCTGGTGGGGAGGGGAGGAGGGGGACAGGAGTGTATTCGGGGGCTGGATCCGTATTTCCTAGCACACTGCCAGGGCTGGACTCCTGGCTCCACCCTTCCCCTGGGAGCTGAGCTGTGGAGAAGTTACTTAACTTGCAGCAACCTCAGTCTCCTCATCTGTAAAATGGGGCTGCGACAGCATCGAGCTCCTGGGGTGGGCGTGAGGCCGAGACGAGCGAATGCATGCATGTGCAGGCCGTGCACTCCCAGCAGGCGCCTGCCGGCCAGCTAGGAAATGTCCATGAATGAACAGGCGCTGGTACTGATGGCTGCTCCTGTTTCTTTTAAGGCTGTCAGATCTGTCCCGGGCACCTGGGCAGATTGGCCGGCGGGAGTGGGTCAGGTTCCGAGTGGACAGGGCTTTCTCCCTGCACCATCGACAGGTTTCCTCAGACTCCAGACGGTGCCCCTGGGCGACCTGATGCCGCTTCCTGGATCCCTAGGTGGAGTCCTGCATTTTAAACAGCACATCCAGGCCCCAGAGCCGTGGCAGGCCCACTGTCAGCTCAGCCCAGACCCTGTGCCTGCCTCTTCCCGCTGAGCTGATGGTGTGGGGATCCGACCCGGAGGGACTCTGGCGTCTGCCCTGGCCTGCTTGCTTCTGCACACTGTCTTAGTGCTTGTGCCTCGGTTTACCCCATCTGAACAATGGGAATGCGGACCCTGACCTCCCAGTGGGGGTTGTAAGGTTGCCGGAAGTTGCGTGAGCTGAGCAGGGGGCAACTTGTTTCACCCCTCTAAAGACACGGGCCAGACAGCCAGGTGTGGCAAGAATACTCACAAAGCATATGAGCGCATGCCTCGGCCAGAGGGCGGGGGGAGGGGGCGGGCATGGCATCTGGGCACAGGTGGACTGGGGACATGATCTGAATGCACGCGTGAAGGCCAAGTACATTCTTCTTGCTAAAATGGTTTTGACGCCGTATTTATTTGAAAGGCAGAGAGAGAGAGAGAGAGAGAGAGAGAGAGAGATCTCCCATCCTCTGGTTCACTCCCCAAATGCCTGCAACAGTGGAGGCGGGCCAAAGCTGGGAGCCGGGAACTCGGTGTGGGTAGCTCACGTGGGTGGCAGGGGCTGCCTCCCAGGGCGCAGCAGCGGGAAGCTGGTGTTGGGAGTGGAGAGTCAGGGTTCCATCTTGATGGCACGTATCCCAGGTGCATCTTCACCGCTGTGCCACACGGCTGCCCTTAGGCCAACTGCGTTTAAGGTGGGACGGAGCACGGGTGCTGGGGAATCTACCAGGTGCAGGTTAAAGCAGGCACGTGGGCTCAGGCTGGTTCTCTCTGCTTCCAGAACAGGCTTCCAGAAGTGCTGGGCTGTGCCCTCGGCGCTGTAACTTCCGCTGTGCCCCGCGTGCCAAGGCCGGGAATGCGCCCTGGCCCACTGCTGCCTTGAGTTTCAGGTAGCTGCACTCCTCTGCCGTGTGCTTGGATGAAGACTGGCCCTCCAGAGCTGCCCGTGGACACGGAGGCCCGAGGTGAGCCCCCCGTCCTTGCCCACTTCGCCAGCCCTCCCCTGGTGGGTGGGGTGGGGGAGGGTCTCTCAGCAAGTTGCATATTGAAAGGCCAGGTTTCCTTCGCTGAGTTAGAATGCAGAAGCCATCTGGGCTGTGCTCGGGCCACCACAGGCCCTGGCGTGAGCAGAGACCCTGCCCTGAGGAGGTACAGGGCTGGGTGGGGTAGGCGAAGCGAGCTCAGGATGGGGGGGGCAGACTGCTGGGTGGGAGCTGGTGCTGGCTTAGCTGGGGCTGTGGAGTCAGTTCCACGTCTGGGTGGCTGGGTGGGTAGGCTCTGTGCGGGGAGTGGGGGGAGGGCAGACCCTGGGGCAGAGAGAGCCCAGCCTCACCCTGGAGACTCCACCTCTCCCTCTGTCTCCCACAGACTGCTGGCTGTGACGCTGCCGCGCAGGCTGGAACCAGTGGCCAGGCCCAGAGACGACGCTGGTGGCTGCAGACCGGCTGGCTCAGAGCGCTCCCTCTTAGTAAGTGGCTGACTCTCCTGTGTTAGCTGAGTGGCCTCCCCTGGGACATGGCAGGATGCTCAGGTTGGCTCCTTGCCCTGGGCCCTTGGCACCCCTTGCCCCCTCCTTCCCTGCTGCCCCTCCCATCCCCCAGAGGCAACAGGGGAGAGGGGTAGAGACCCTGGAGCCAGACCCTTGAGGACTCTGTGACCAGGGGCAGACCCTAGGTCCCAGGAAGGAACAGTCCCCAGCATCCCTGCGCCAGGCCGGTGCAGGAGCTCAGGGGCCCGCGCCTGGAGTAGTACAGCTGGCAGAGATGAACTGGTGCTGGCCGCTCCTCAGCCCATGGGGCGCAGGTCCTTCCTGCACAGGGGCTTGGGCCAGGTGCACCTCGCCCCTTCCTCTCCCTGGCGGTGGACAGGGGACAGAGGCTTGGCAGTGCCGGCGCCAGCAGGTGGAGGGGGAAGGAGCCGCTGGCAGGGGCAGGGCGGGAGGGCAGTCACAGGGCAGGGCTGAGGTGTGGGGAGCTAGGCTTCCGTGCCGGGGTCCCCTCTGAGGAACTCAGAGCCTGTGAGTGAGGCCCTTGCAGCAAATGTAGGCAAAACCCCCGGGGGGAACAGGGCATCCGATGCGCAGCTTCCTGAGTGGTGGTTTCCTGCGGAAGCTGCCCAGGCGCCCCGGAGACCAGCGCTTGCCGGGGAGCGAGTGGGCGGTGCCCCGGCCGTTGCAGGCTCCTGACCGGCAGCCACCTGTGTCCACAGAACTCGTGCCGTGCAGAAGCAGCCCCATGAAGGTGCCCAGCCATGCAATGTTCCTGGAAGGCTGTCCTCCTCCTCGCCCTGGCCTCCATAGCCATCCAGTACACGGCCATCCGCACCTTCACTGCCAAGTCCTTCCACACGTGCCCGGGGCTGGCCGAGGCCGGGCTGGCCGAGCGGCTGTGCGAGGAAGGCCCCACCTTCCCCTACAACGCCTCCCGCAAGACCCACATCCTCATCCTGGCCACCACGCGCAGCGGCTCCTCCTTCGTGGGCCAGCTCTTCAACCAGCACCTGGACGTCTTCTACCTGTTCGAGCCCCTCTACCACGTGCAGAACACGCTCATCCCGCGCTTCACGCAGGGCAAGAGCGCGGCCGACCGGCGGGTCATGCTGGGCGCCAGCCGCGACCTGCTACGCAGTCTCTACGACTGTGACCTCTACTTCCTGGAGAACTACATCAAGCCGCCGCCCGTCAACCACACCACCGACCGCATCTTCCGGCGCGGCGCCAGCCGCGTGCTGTGCTCGCGCCCCGTGTGCGAGCCCCCGGGCTCCCCGGACCAGGTCCTGGAAGAGGGCGACTGCGTGCGCAAGTGCGGGCTGCTGAACCTCACCGTGGCCGCCGAGGCCTGCCGCGAGCGCAGCCACGTGGCCATCAAGACCGTGCGCGTGCCCGAGGTGAACGACCTGCGGGCTCTGGTCGAAGACCCGCGCCTGAACCTCAAGGTCATCCAGCTGGTGCGGGACCCGCGCGGCATCCTGGCGTCGCGCAGCGAGACCTTCCGCGACACCTACCGGCTGTGGCGCCTGTGGTACGGCACGGGCAGGCGGCCCTACAACCTGGACGTGACGCAGCTGACCACGGTGTGCGAGGACTTCTCCAACTCCGTGTCCACGGGCCTCACGCGGCCGCCCTGGCTCAAGGGCAAGTACATGCTGGTGCGCTACGAGGACCTGGCCCGGAACCCCATGAAGAAGACCGAGGAGATCTACGGGTTCCTGGGCATCCCCCTGGACGGCCACGTGGCCCGCTGGATCCAGAACAACACGCGGGGCGACCCCACGCTGGGCAAGCACAAGTACGGCACGGTGCGCAACTCGGCGGCCACGGCCGAGAAGTGGCGCTTCCGCCTCTCCTACGACATCGTGGCCTTCGCGCAGAACGCCTGCCGCCGCGTGCTGGCGCAGCTCGGCTACAGGGTGGCCGCCTCGGAGGAGGAGCTCAAGAACCCGGCGGTGAGCCTGGTGGAGGAGAGGGACTTCCGCCCGTTCTCGTGACGCGGGGCGCCGCGCCGCTAACTGTTGCCTTATCCCCTCCCCGTTTGTCTCTGAGATTTGCACTACGTCGCGGGCGGGGGCGGGGGCGGGGGGCAGTGGTCCCCGGGGCGCACGCGGGCGGCGGCCATGTTTTACAAGCCTCCTGCGTCTTCTCCGTAGTCGTCCCCGCCGCGGTTCTTTCTAGCGGATGGGTGGGATTTTCCTTGGTGTTT